TTTTTTTTGTAATACAAAATTCTTGTTCCCGTAAATCACATTGCATTGTATTAGTATTTTGAAAATAATTCAAGGTGGAGATTATAACGAATTGATGGTGATAAATATTTTAAGTCATAAAAATTGAATAATTGAAAAATTTCTAATAGTAGGGAACAATTTTTTCAATTGGAGAAAGTAGCACTAGAACCAAGGATTTTATGTAATAATATAATAATTCTGATGAAACCAAAGAGTTTTAAAACTAATTAATGTTTATATAATTTATTTTCACTAGTTTAACTTTATAACTATTTTTAAAAATAAATTATATACAGTAATTTCATACTTTCCTACCTTGGTCGTTTATTACATAAAATCTTTGTTTTGATTATTTTTTGTATAAAGGAAAACTGAAAAACTTAGAATATTAAAAAAAATTGTAATTTGAATCCATTGTTTTTGGATCTAATAGAATTGAGAAATTAATGTTTTGTTATATTTGTATATAAAAGATTTTAGATATAGCAATACAAAATGTTAGGAAATTGAATTTTTGTATAATTTGCATTGTATAAAATTATTGTAAAACTTTTGAATGATTGGTATATATTTTTTAACTGACTTTACATTCCTATAAAGTTAATCAGGTTTTAATTAATATTCTTAGAGTACTTTTATATTACATTTTTATAATATAGAAACATAATTACCGCTTCCATTGAAGCATTGTTTTAACAGATAAATTCAAAATATGATTTTATACAATTTATATGTCTCTCTATATACAGACATTGTGCAGTAATACTCATTGGAAATAATATTTGCAATTTTTTATAGGAATATTTAATAGAAGAATGTACTCTTGATGCTTCATCAGTTACGCCCGTAAATTTATATGAGTATAATGTGTAACATCTTTGTAGAAAATTGTCACGATACTTAAAATTTTCCATAAATCGCCCAATTCATTTTGCAGTGACAAATAAGTAACATTTGTTTTTTTTAATGAAGATTAACGAATATGAAAGAAAGCATTAATGAATTTATATCAATTTCTTCGCATTTATGTATTATACAAGTTTTCTTCTAAACTGTTGTATAATAATGAGAAAGATGAATTATACTTGTAATATGTTTAAAAATTTTATTGTAACGCGGACTGTTGAGAACATAATATGTAACTAACTTTGTGATAGAGCATTGCTACAAGCAAAAAGAGAATGATTTTTATATCTTTAGAAATACAGAGATTGTTTAATCTCTTCTCTATTTAAACAAATTTATATATTTCGGTCTACATGAAAAAGTGGAATTTATATGTTCGATTGCTACATTGTTGATGATTACACAGCAATATTTTACATAACACGTGCCCGCGTTTAAAACGATTTTATTATAATTTGTAATTATATTTACATTAGGTACTTCTATACACATACCTACATTCTCAAATCATGAAAATGCATTCGTACGCAATAGATAGTATGTAATTACAACGAAAATTGTGAGATAGCTTTATATGTAGTTTATTATGTCTATACATTTCTACGAAATTATTATTTTTTACATATTTAATTATTATCTTATTTAAATTGTTTTCTCCATGTGACTATGCAAAAATATGGGTAACCTAGCGAAAATTTCTAAAGGATATATGTTATTACGAGAAAATTTTTCATTAAAGTAAAATTAATTTGTAGTGAATGACATTTGATTCTTGTTAAATTGTGATTTATCAAGAAGTCAAATACATACGTTCGCAATAAGTTACAACAATAATCGTATATTTTTTTGTAAGTTTGTATAATACTGACTAAAATAGAATGGTTTTTCTCCTTCGACAGATTAACAAGTATATACTGCAAGCAATTTGCAAATTATCTCTAAGTACTTTATACGCGAAGCTTGAATATTTTTGAATAATTAAAAAGTTTACACTCACTTTATGATATACAGCAATGGAACTGTTTTATTTGTTATTGATAGTCACTTGTATATTCAGATTTTATTTGTTTTTCTGTACATGGTCTAAAGAATGTAGATATATTGTGCCTTTTGTATATTGTATATTTGTATATAAACATATTTTATATAAAATATTGTAATAATGTAGTCTATTCACATAAACAATAAATAAAACTTCAGAGAATGTTTATTTTATTTAATGAACTTTCACAACTCATTATATTCCTTTCGTTTCTGTTTAAATTATTCCAATGTTTCAAGAAAGATATGCTACCTGTTACAAATAAAAAATGTATTGTGCAGTTAAGTTCAATTAAACAAAAATGGCACACAAATACGAAAAAAAAATTATATGTCTATGTTTGCATATATATGTACATACATATATATGTATTTATACAATACATTAGCATTTATTTGTAATAAATTTTATACAAAGTAAAGCACATGCCTATTTCGCATAACTTACTTAATAAAATGCACAATATTTACATTTTTGCAAAAAAAAAATATATAAGATAAATTTTTCTTGTTGCAAATGCACGAAATTTTCTTTCTTCGCAGTTTGACGCAGCAAATAATATGTAATTAATATTTATAACACGTAGATATTACACTTACTTAAACATCACATTGGCAATTGATCTAAAATTAGTACTTACATTTCTTTTATAACTATTAGCATACTTTGTATATTACAGTAATATTTACATCTCTTTCGATCGATAATATATAATATCAAAAACGTACAAAAGTGAAAATATAATTATATATTTTTCAAGAAACGCGAGATATGTAATCATCCAAAGATGAGGCGCGTAGAAAATTTGTATACAATTTTACCAAAACTTTGTAGCAAATACGTCTTGAAGTCGGATTGAAAGATATAACTAGTCTTCTATATATCTATTTTGTTTTTGTATCGCATGGCAATAGACATAATGAAAGATCATTATACAGTTGATTTAATTATAACGCACAATTTGATTGTAATCCAAAATTTAGAATATCAATGTATAATAACAGGATTTCTATCTATTTTCGTGTTAATTTAAAAAATTATATGTTAAGTATCAATATTAAAGTACCGATTTAATCGTCACAATTATAACTTTGATTCTTTCTATATTACTCAGTATTCTTTTGTATGTTTCAAACAAGTGACCCATAGCCTACATTGGTATATTTCTATTTTATTTACTTGTGCGTTATAATAAAAGTCGTAGCCGAAGCATACTATGCATCTATTTATAATATTGAGCGTATTTTGAAATTCTGACGGAATGTAACAAGTCATGTTACCTTTAGATATTATGCATAATAAAAAATTCTTTCAAAAAGTTCACATTATATATAAACTATTTCTGTGCGTGTTTTTGCTATTTACGTATTGAAGAATTGACTTTTAAACTTTGAGAAAAATATGCTGCAACATCTGTATTTTGGAATTTGTTATATTTGTAAATGTATTACTTTCGTAATATTATCTCAAAATAGTTATTTGCTTGGGAATTTCATTAAGCTTTGTCAAGATTTTTACACCTATGGAATGTTACGATTTAATTGGAAACTGTGTCTTGCCGAAAATCGTACAAATATGCAAAAGTATATTTAAATCTTTTCTTATGTACTCGTCGTCGTTATTACTACTATCGAAACTCTGCCGTCTTTTTCTTAGAAACTCTCTCAAATAAACGATCAACAGATATGAATTAAATTGGAATTATAAATATCTCAAACGTATATAACAATCAACAATAATTAAATGGAAACAATTTTAGCGTTCGATTACTTAAAGTTATAATAATCATTAAAAAAAAAAAACAATGTAAAAATAATAGTATAACTTTTCTAAATGTGCATTGCTAAATTTACTATTTTCTATGATATTCCGTAAACGTATTTCGTAGTTACGTTCACTAGATTTGTACAATAGAAAGAATACATATTGAACAAACAGACAAACATCGTTACACGTTGCGACTGTTTGTTGAAAGTATTACTGACAAAAACTTCGCATTTTGCTTTGGATTTCTCGATGAATTTATAGCACCGTATTAAGTGACTTACGCATATGAATAATTCAATATCAAATTCCAATATTTGTTTTAAATTACTGTATCTACAGCTCTACCATATTGCAGTAATGTCCTGTCAATATTTGAGAAAGTGATTGCAATTTATCGAACTAGGCAAACACGGTGAACAAGAGGATGAGGATGCTGTTAAATGACGAATCATTCTGTTTTTCTCTTTTCTCAATAAGTTGATGAGGTTTTTCTGATTATCTTCATTATGATTAACTTTGTTTATATTAAGACAGATAAAAATATACCCAGAGTACATTTTTATGAATTATATACGTAGGTAAAGTGAAATAGCTTAGATAAATATATATTAGAATATACTTTTATTTAATTTAAAATAATCTGAAAGATCTCATCATCCCTTTAGACTTTCATCCCTCCTACCTTAGAGAAATAGTAAAAATTCTAAAAATTTTATTTTTAGAACACGATGATTCATAGTTTATCAGCGGATTTGTTCTCTCTCTCTTTCTCTGACGTTTCTTGCAAGGATGTATTTGATTAGTCAGAGCCAAATCGTCTGTTAATGTCAGCCTTCGTGGACTCAAACATTTTGATATTAACAAGACATTACTGTGTTATTCATCATTTATAAATTTTGATTCGATAACGCAGCGCACAACTCTTTCATGCTTGAACTCAGTTTACAAGGTTTATCACATGAAATTTATCTCGACTTTCCAATGTGAATTATGGCGAATAAAATTCAAATGCTCTAGTAAACGTACATTCACTCGACGTTCAAATTACATTGTGCGTTAACTTTTGACACAAAATTATAAATATCGAGTTAAAATTAAGAAAATTCTGAAAGAGCTTGAAAGAGTATGAAAACGTTGGTTGGCGCAAGAGACGCAGTGAAAATTTTTTCCTTAAAAAGAGATTGTTCTCCCTGAAAGAAAATGGAAAAAACACACTGGGCGTAGAGCATAGTTTAAAGTTCTAGTTCTTCGGCAGTGCGAGAAAGTCTGTGATTATCGATACGTCTGCGTTGGCTACGCCTGACTGCATCTGCTCGTCGATACGGTTCTGATCTAAGCCCAAGAAGAATGTCTTCCAGAGCACCATTGTACACTTCATCCTGCTGCAACAATTTCTTCTCCTGAACTAGTCTCGTCTTATTTTTCAGTTCATTTATCACAGCGTCCTGTACCAAATTACCAATGATCATTAGTCAATGAATGATATACACATATATGTTAGCTTTATTAATCTTACTGCGACCTTCGATTATTTTGTTTGATATTTTCCATTATCTCAAATTTAAATGTTCATCCAAAGAATAGAAGGATCACAAACGATAAAAATGAATTGTTCAAATAAAGTGAATTATTATTTTACCTATCCTTGGAATTTCAATGTTATTAAACATTATATAAGTTTAAATTTGAAAGAGGGACACAGAATTTTCAGAAAGAAAACTATAGATTTTACATAAATGCTGAAATGAAAAATCTTTCAATTAATATGCATCCTACAATTAAAATTCTTATCAATCAAGAGACACTTGAGTTTCTTCTACTTCATACTATAAACTAGAAATAAATTCAATTTAATGTTTTTAATTCTATAACTATATTGTTAATGTATACGCGTTTATTTATGAGTATTTTGGCAGTAGCATAGAAAAGTGATAATAGAGGACTTCTCTCAGGCAACATCAATGCAAGCTAGAACATGCTAATGCATTTAAAAAAATTTTTTTTTTTTTGTTAATGATATGAATCAAGTGAATATAGATCCGTACCACGAGATTTTGAAGACAGTTCTTTGAAAATAATGGAAATTGTTACTTATGAGCAAGATTAATAAAAAATTCTAATGGCTACTGATATTAATGATAATCAAAAGATGTAATAATAGAATTTAATCCAAACCATTTTGTAAGGAATATAATAGCTTGTATTTATTAAAATTAAACTAAAACAATGATTGAAATTGAAGCTTTTATAACATGGCCTTTCATCCATTAAAGATAGAAAAAAGAAAAATCTTAAAGATAAATGAAATAAAACTACAATAAAGCTTTTGATATGAAAAAGAACTGTTTTCGAATATATGATTTTAGGATACTTTTAACATGTGTATCTCTCATAGTAATAGAAACTAAACCTACATGTGTATTGTCTAAGCATGGTGTATGTGCGGATGCGATCATTAAAAATATGTCATTAGAAGGAAGTGAGTAGGACAGACTTACATGTTGTGAATTGTTTCTATATTGTTACGTTCTGAGCTCCAGTTCATTAAGATGCCGATGTAACAGACTCTTGTTTGTGTTACAGCAAAATTTCGGTGACTTTAAATCCAAATAAATATGTAACAAATAAGAAAAATAGACGTTCGTGAGATACTTTGATAGACGTCACTGTCTGTTCTTGAAACGGGTAACAAAAATTGCTAAAAGAGCACTCTCGAAATAATCAAAATTATTATAATCATCTGATAAATATCCCTGAAGAAATATCATGCTATCTCACGGCATGCAGCGAAAAGAAATGCCTTGTAAATTTGCTTTTTCGCACGAGCATTGTAACTGGCAAAGATTATCTCCAAAAAAATGATCTGTTTCCTTAATTGACATTTAGTAAAGCTAAATAGTATCCCCATACAAAATTATCTTCCATGTTTCACACTGAAGATTGTATTAAGAATGTTACAATAACGAGACGAATCGACATGAGACGTATTGTATTGTGATACTAGATGATTCTAATCCAAATTGTCTTGTATACAGAAACTCCAAATTTAGAGATGTTCAGAGTGTTATGATATGTAAGCTTTCCTATGAAATGATCCATCATGCATCATTTTCTAAGGATATTATGAAGAATAAATGAGCACTGATAAAAAGAGCGAACTTTTAAATACCATACAAAATTAGATCGCACACACATACAAATATAAAACTTTGAACAGAAATTAAATAATATGAAAATCTGTTTGATGCTTTCTAATTCAATGGGTGAAATTATATTCCAACCAATGAAAGTATCGTATCATTCCATAAGGAAATAAATGTTAATATTTCAGTTCAGTCATGCATGTTCCATATTCGTTTCTAAATGTATAAAGCAGGAATTATATTTACATTGTACATACATAAAGCACTATATTATGTTTTAGCTAAATAATAAAGATATAATTAATAATATGTAAATAATATGTATAGAAATAAAAAAATTTTTGCAGCATTGATGTTGAGAGAGAAAGAGAGAGAAACATATTTAAAAATGTAAGTATATGGTTAATAAAATTAAAAAGAATAAACGTGATATTAAGTTTAATAAAAGAACTTAGCTTTAAGAGATTTAAGCATAATTAAATAAAATTTCAAGAAACTTAGCTGAGAAAATAAAGGGCATTCGTATTTATATAACTGTACACTTTTTGTAAAATATTCGTTAATAAAAATGTAGATTAAAAGCCATTAAATGCGCAGCATGCAGTAATAATGAAGCTAAATAATTATAATTATCTTATTTCCTCAGGAATTTCTTTCCTTCCTAAGGAATAAATAATTAATGAAACGTACCTGTTGCTTCTTTTGATTTAACTTATTACGTTTAATAACGTCCTCTGAGGCGTTCAAAGCTTCTGCAGCAGCAGCTTCTAGTCTGCGACGCTGTTCATTTTCTTGATCCGCAGCCTGCAAGAATACGCTTTACCTTGTAATATCTCGTCAAATATTTCGACTTGTATCTTAATTCTAGTTCTAAAGTTAAAAATGAATTCCTTCTAATTCTACAGCTGAACGGCTACCTTAAATGCCCTTGCGAATCTGACGAGGAGAGAGAAGAATGTATTAGCATCAGCCTGTCGGGGACTTTCTCCGAAAAATTCAACGCATTCCCGGAATGCTTCTCCAGCAGTCCGTGCGTCGGATTTCAAACGGCGCAACTTTTCTTCCGAATTATTCAAGAAATCTCGCAGGACGGTGTTGTGTTTCTCTTTACCGCGTAACTCAAATTCTTTTCTCACGAGGTCCATCCCCTTTTCCAGTTCGTGAACGTCGGTAGTTATGTTTTCCAACGAGACTAAAAAGAGCGAAGAAAGCAAAATGATATATAGAAACAAACAAAGGCATATAATACATGTAATGAGCTGAATTCGAGGAATGAAATTTGGTACTTTCCGTGGAAAAAGTATAATTAATCTCAAGTGTGAAAGTACACGTGTTTCGAAACAGAAATTCGAGACGCTCTAGGGGGAGATAACGAGCTCCAGCTTGTCAGGAGCGTAAAACATTTACTCAAAACTAGTTCTTCTACTAGTTCTTTGTAGCTACAGTGATTTTTATTCAATGTATCAAGTAATTTTAGACGGCGAACATCATTTATTAATGAGAATTAATGTCATTTAACATTACTACTATATTAAATATTAACACAGCAATATTAAGTAACATTAATTTATAAATGACGTTCGCAATCTAAAATTCAAGATATCGTTGTTAGTTCAATAATTAAGATATTAACATACGCACCGGTCGCTGCCTTATCGATGTACATTAGCTCCGATTCGAAATTAATCAATTCTGGAAACTTGACTCGTATCGTTGCCACGATATAGTGTAAAAGGCACATTCTCTTGTCCGTTGACTTCGTATCGAGTAATGTGTCTAAACTTTGAAGTTTGAACCCGTACGCCGGCCCTCGTTTACTGCTGTTTAGGTAATTGCCGAATGCAAGGATGATTTCTAATACTGCTCTTAGCTTCTTTGAACTCTTGACCGAACTCGAGGCAGATATCACAGCATGTATTTGCGGAGTAATAAGATGTAAATTGTCAAAAAAGTTGCCGATGTAATTCATAATGGACAGTTTCGTCGATATCCTCTCCACTTTGCCGAGTTGCATTAAAAATTTGTCCTCCTCCGTTAACAGATTGACGTTTTTCTTTTCTATGATGTACTCCCTGTATGCTTTTATCTGTAACGTTATAAAATTCTCATGTATCACTATTCTTTATTAATAATATGATATCCATATGAAAGCTATATATTGACGATATATATTTTTAAGAATTGTAGAAGAAACCATACTTCTTGATCTGTGGGTACCATACGTTGTAACAGCTCTACATTTTCCAGCGACAGTACTTTCAAATCGAGAGCATTTACCGCCATGATCACTTTCTCCACCGGCATTTCCATTTTTCTTCGCGATATGGCTGCAAGACAGAACAGAACATCAAACACATCCCATCTTTCAATCATCATCAAAAAGAACGATTACGATTTTACTGATTTTTACCGATATTTCGCAGTCTGGTATGTTCTAAAAGCGACACGTTCTCCGGTTTCTTGAATCGTTTACTAGGGAAGCTATGAAGGCCGTCGATTTCGTTGTTGCCATTAGCAACGTGACTTCCCATTCCGATTTTAAATCGTTCCTCGAAATCGGAGAAGTCTATGTAATTGTGCAACCGGTCGTCGTCTAGCTCGTTGAAAATGGTACCCCGTACTTGATTCGGCTTCAGAGCGATCCAGTTCAGCGTGGGCAGTTTGTATTTTGTTTGAACCTGAAAACGAAATCGTGATTTATCGTTTTGATACAGAACGATTGTATATTGTATATATACATTGTAATGGAACGTACTTTCCGTTTGATAGTCATCGCACCGTCCGGTGCTTGCATCATGCCCGCAGGCGGTGGAGGTATTGGTGCAGGCGGTGGTAACTTTTGATCTCCAGGGGAAAGAGGCGCCATAGGAGGCGGTGGCGGACACGGAGGTGGAGGAGGTGGAGGTGGCGCTGGGGCGGACGGAGGAGGTTCCTCCAACGTCGGAGACGGGGTCGAATTAAGCGTAGAAGACGTGACGTTGTCCGACGTACTGATGGGACTCGTTGCACATCCGTTTCGAAGGTTGCCTGTACATAATCGAACGAATCCATTAACCGACACTAGACTTTTATAAGATAGAGAGGAGCTCTCTGTTTCGTTACCTGAAGAGCCCTTCGTAAGAGTGCCAGTGAGCGTCTCCAGTTCTATAATTTTGTTTTCCAAAACGCTTTGCCTCCGTGCTGAATCCTGCTTTTGCCTCTTCAACGCGGTGAGCTCCTCCTCGGCCAGTCGACGAGCCTCCACCGCGTCGGCGTATTCCACCTTCAACGCGCCCAATTCAGTCTCTAATTCCGCCAACTTTGCTAGCGATTCTCTCTCCAATTCCGCCATTCTGTCATGCGCCTGTTTTTTGACGTGATAAAATTTCGCTTAATAAACGATCATTTGAACGAGTCATTTGGGCTACTCACGTGGCCAAGTTCATCTTCTAATTCAGCTACTTTTTCTAACGCAGCAGTCTTAGTTTCGCTGTCTTCCATTAAGGCAGCAACATCAAACACGTTATCCAGATACGCAGAGATTTGAACCTGGGAACAACATCGAGATAATATCAATTCTTTCAATTTTTAATTACACACAATGAACCTCAATGCGTACATTCAACTCAATTATATGTGTCGCACTAATATTGTTACGCGCTATGTAAAATAATTGCCAACTGACATTATGTTACGAGCGGTTTTGTTGTACATAAATCGGGAAATAAAGGAACTGAAGAAAATATTGTATGAAATTTTTCGATTGCTCAACGTGACAGCAGCAATGTACACACACATATATATATATGTACATAAGTATTATGAATTCAAAAATTAATAAGTTCACGTACCTGCAAATCCTCGCTCTCGGTATGTCTGAGTTTCTCGAGATACTCGTCTAAACCAAGCTTAGTAAATTCGTATTGCAGGTGAACCCTGAAATTCATGTCCTCCACTGAATGGACGACGATATTTACGAACTGCATACAAGCGACCATGAATTCTATGTGAAAACTATCGTATTGGGTGAAGTATGCCATAAGCGTGGTGAATCGTCGCCGTTCCAAACAAACTTCTTTGAAGTTGTCGAACGCCGACAAGATGATCTCGTGGCCACCTTTTACCAGACAAATGGCAGCAAGAAGTTCCAGCACCAGAGCTTTTGTTCTGAAAACAGTATATGTATGTATATATTTTTCTTTCCATCAATTTGGAAGGCAATAGGTTTATGCGTTACATGAAAATATATTTACCTCAGACTCTTGTGCATTAGACTGAGCGCAATGCAATTGATTGCTTCACGATGCTGAATGACCATGTTGAATCCGTACTATAAAATATTTAATAGTACTTATAATACTAGTTTAGTACTACTATACTACTATTATAATTAATAAAGTAAATACTATACTACTATTATAATTAATAAATAAAGTACTTGTACTATTCTACTACTTATATTTATAATATACTATAAATACTTATACTATTATACTACTATTATAAGTACTTGTACTATTCTACTACTTATATTTATAATATACTACTATAAGTACTTATACTGTTATACTACTATTATAATTATAAGTACTTATAATTATATTAATAATATAATAGTACTTATAATATAGTATATAATACTTATATAATAGTATAATTACAAGTGTAACAATAGTGTAATTATACTACTTATAATATAGTATATAATACTTATACAATAGTATAATTATAAGTGTAACAATAGTGTGATTATAGTACTTATAATATAGTATATAATACTTATATAATAGTATAATTACAAGTGTAACAATAGTGTAATTATACTACTTATAATATAGTATATAATACTTATACAATAGTATAATTATAAGTTTAATAATAGTGTAATTATAATACTTATAATACCACTCATAATATTTATAATTACAAGTATAATAGTAATATAATAGTACTTGTAATTATAAGTATAGTAATAGTATTTGTAACACCACTTATAATTTTTAACTCAATTGGAATGTCACCGATATTTATGCGTGATGTTACACCATTACAATCTGTAATTTCTCACAGATCTCGATAAATCACTCACACTTTACAGAAACAAACAAATTTTCGAATACAGAAACAAAAAAAAAAAAAAAATAACGTAACAAAGCAACTCTATCTGTTTGTTGGGAAAGAAAAGAGAGATGAAGAATGAAATGAAAAGAAGTGTCTCTCTCGCCGAGTTCTTCCTGAACCAGTTTCCAGATTTCCAGCGCAAGGAAGTTTTCTACCTTGTTGTTCATGATGGCACGCATGCACAGTATGCAAACGTGAATGTCATCTTTCGCTTCGCCCATATTGAGACGCGCCACGTGCCGGGATCTCCTTTTAACGCCGGGGCTGTCTTTCAGCTCGTGCAGCGGCGGCCTCAGGCAACCATTATTCAGAGGCGACGTGTCCCCGGAACCGACTGCAAAATAAATAAATCACGTAGTTCGTATCATGGATTCCCGCTTTTTCAGAAATAATAATCGTCGCCGTAATAACACTCACCGGTTTGCAATTTCTCCTCGGAGCTCGCGTGGGACTCCACGAGGCGTTGCTCGTGCCTCATCATGAGCAACCTGAAGCTGAGGTAGTCTATAAGGGCGTCCAAGCCTTGGTTCTCCTCGTCTAGGAACTCCCTTACCCATCTGAATTGAATTTGACCAAATTTAGCGATTTAAAGGCGAATTAAATTGAGAGATTAACAACACATTGTTTACCGGTCACCGAGTTCACTCGTGTTTGCACCTGCGTTAGCTATTCTATTTGATTCTCGACACTCGGGGTAACACAGGGTATACCGTGTTCAATTGTGTTCCACTTTATTGTGAAAAAAAAAAAATTACTTTTATTGATATCTAGGTATCTATTGCAATTTTAGTGCTTGAAAATTTGAGAAATTGAGAAATTTCAATATCATGACGAAATGAATTGTATGCAGACGGTTTGTCCGATTGTCTGAGTGACTTTGAAATATATAATATATTGTAGTGAAGTCGAAAGACAGTTATGAATTGGATACTATGATAGTCCTTTTGTGTACCATTACACACGTAGATGATTAGTTTATCATATCAAAAAGAAATTACTAGATATATTATAAAATATAATATAAAAGTATATTATAAAAAATTACTAAATATATTATGAAATATAACATAAAAATATATAATATAAAAAGTTACTAAAAATATTATAAAATATATTATACAAAATTACTAAATATATTATAAAATATAACATGGAAGTATATTATAAAAAATTACTAAAAATATTATAAAATATATTATACAAAATTACTAAATATATTATAAAATATAACATGGAAGTATATTATAAAAAATTACTAAAAATATTATAAAATATATTATACAAAATTACTAAATATATTATAAAATATAACATGGAAGTATATTATAAAAAATTACTAAAAATATTATAAAATATATTATACAAAATTACTAAATATATTATAACATGAAAGTATATTATAAAAAAATTACTAAATATATTATAAAATATAAAATAAAAGTATATTATAAAAAATTACTAAATATATTATAAAATATAACATAAAAGTATATTATAAAAAATTACTAAATATATTATAAAAGTATATTATAAAAAATTACTAAAAATATTATAAAATATAATATAAAAATATATTATAAAAAAGTACTAAAACATAATATAATACAAAATTATATGTATAAAATATAATGTATATAAGAGATGTACAAAGTTTTATTTAAATTAATTTATTCAGACGAAATAATAGCCGGTGAACTTTTGCGTGAAATTGCCGGTCAACAATGTGTTAAGATGATTCCGCTAGAAAATATTTGTTCTACAAACAGGGTCCAATCATTTAATACACACATAAACACGTGACATACAAACACGAGAGGCAGAGATTGTTCTCGGTTCAACTAGTTATTTTAACCATTGATTTTTAATTCAGTTCAAACTACAATTAGCACGATTCGGATCTTGTAATAAAACATGCGTATATTTTATAAGAGATCGTATGTAAAGATCAATGGTTGATTGCTATCAATTCTAGAAGTATATAACAACATATATAAAAGTAGCTTACTCTATGTGATTTGTGCGTAACGAGATTTCCAAATCTCGCAATACTTGAGTCGACGTTGACTCCCCGACCATTTTCCTCTTCTGGAAGAACGTGAGAAAACGATACGACTGTATAATCATTAGTATCCGTTGTTCAAGTTTCTGCACGCGCGGAAAACGAACATAAAATAAACGGCATTTTTTGGAGTTCAAGAACCAAACGTTTCGTCGTTTCGTACGAACAGACTATTATGCATTAGGGTGACAATTAAAGGTATCCGATTTTGAAAATGAAAATTTCCCACTTTATTTAATTCCTGTGTCATATATTTTTCTTTGCTCGATTCTTTCTGTCGTTTTGGAAATTACGTCGAACCAACGAAACTCGAGCGAAATTTCAGTGAACAGCCCCTTAGAACAAAAAGATGACCGAATGAGATAGTATGAAATTATTTCGCTTTTATAATTATAAAAGCCACCCTTGTGCATACGTACAAAAAAAAAAAAAAAAAAAAAAAAAAAGGGGAGAAAAATTGGAGAATCATCAACGATGAAAGAAACCGCCACAAAGCTGTGATCCTCTAATTTTTTTCAGGCCGCGGGATGCTAGTTGAACTTCGATTCGCGTTGCAACAGAAGGAAGACGAAAACACGAACAGGAAAATAAGAAATTAGAATTGCAAGAAATCAAAAGCAACGTACTCGATGGCTTCGCGAAGCTTTCGGATCCAAGTAGGTGCGTAACTTTGCTAAATAGTGCGACGGTGGATCCTTTGCTTGCACCCTTTCCTGAAAACATCGAAATATCGTGAAAATTTTAAAATTAATGCGTTTAGAGAGGAAAATTGTAAAATTAATTCTGCAGATTGATCGCGTACGATAATAGAGATAATAGAGAAAATACGATCATACCGAGATACGAAAGATTAAAAAGTTTAAAGGAGGCGCGCGTAGGAGAATCAACAGGATTAATAGGATAGCTCTATGCCCGGCTATAATGAGCGAAGCTTCACATGCACGTTGCACGCGCGAGAGAACGCGAGTTCGTATAAAATTAATCTCCCTAATTTCAACCGTAATATATTCTTCGAACACACTTTCATCTCGCGTTTAACACGCTTTCATATCGAAGGATATTCTTCACTTTCTTCCGGACGCGTTTTACTTTCTTCTCTGAGCAGAGTCGTTTGAAATTTATCAACATTAAAGTTTTTAAAGTTTGAATTTAGTAACTTTCGGCAAGTTTGATTTTTGTAACTTCAGCAACTTTAAAATGGCTTTGGTGACTTTAAATTTAGTAACTTTTGGTAACTTTAAATTTAGTAAGTTTTAGTAACTCTAAAATAACTTTAGTAACGTTAAATTTAGTAGCTTTTAGTGACTTAAATTTAATAACTTTTAGTAACTTTGAAACAACATCGGTAACTTTAAAATAACTCCAGCGACTTTAAATTTAGTAACTTTTAGCAACTTTGGTAACTTTAAATTTAGTACTTTTCAGTAATTTTAAAATAACTTTAATAATTTTTGAATTTAGTAACTTTTAGTAACTCTAAAATAACCTTAGTAACTTTTAGTAACGTTGAATTTAGCAGTTTTTAATGACTTAAATTTAATAGCTTTCAGTAACTTTGAAATAACACTGGTAACTTTAAAATAACTTTAGTGACTTTAAATTTAGTAACCTTCCGTAACGTTGAAATAACTTTAATAATTTTAAATTCAGTAGCTTTTAGTAACTTTGAGGTAACATTGGCAGCTCTAAAATAGCTTCGGTGGCTTTAAATTTAGTAACTTTCAGTTACTTTGAAATAACCTTAGTAGCATTTAGTAACTTTTGGTAACTTTGAGACAACTTAATAATATCAAAGTAACAAGAAGGAGAAAGATACACATTTTTCACCCGGGTCTTTTTTCGAAAAATTTCTGCGGGACAGTGATTTGCCGAATACTTTCCGACGGAAGGAGAAGTTTACAGGTTCTACACAAGAGAGTGTCGGTGGTGTGCACGTGTGCACGTCTGCACGCCGATGAGTGAGGGATGCTGTACAATTTTTTTGCAACCCGCTTTCTTGTATCGTATAATAGCACGGCTTGCATTACATCCGTGTCGTGTTACCCACATGCCCTACAGGCCCGTTGAAGAATTGAGACGGGCCATCGATGACCCCGAACAGGCCAACCCTGTCGCCTCAAGAATATCTTGTTTCATCAACAGAGCCTGTGCAACGAAGAATCTCGCGATTCTCTATGCACATACGCAACACCTTACGACGTCGGAGATTAACGCGTTTACTACAGTGGTCGAGACTCGTTCATTTAACCCTTTTAACAATGTAACAACACAGCAAAGAATCATGTTGTACTTCTCGCATCAGACGTGAAAGAAACATTTAACTTTCTACCCCTTTTGCAAGACAAATACGAGAGAACTCTATTTTAAATTTAGTGCTCTATTTAATTAAACTAGTGCTCAGGTAAGTAAGAGTTCTGCCGTACCGATCATTCTGAGTAATTCTGAAATTCCCAATTTCATACGCAATAATCTAACTAGCCTAACACTAAACGCTCGATTGTTAACTTTTCTTTTTTTCTCAAACTTGCGAAGCTTGTAAATATTCAACACATTTAACCTTAATTCTTTTTATTTAATAACAATCGACTTTATTTAAGATTCGATTACAATTCGATCACATTCAAGATTCGTTTAAGATTTTAATTCAAATTCACTTAAGAATTTTTATTAGATAGAAAACGGCGGAGATTTCATACGAAGCGAAGACAAGGAGAACAAACAGGAGGAAAGTTACAAGGTGGGTCAGAGACGTTTAAAGCGATCAACGATGGATGTTGCGGAATGTGGCGGTAGGGAGTGACTAGAATTGTGTCTGGGAAAGTGCTGCAGCAAGTGAAAGGGGATGAAGAGAAGGGGGCGAATAAATGAGAACGATAAAGAGGATCCGCTCGTACGACGCTAATCCGCAACCTGCAAGTTGCACGTATTTTGTACTCGAAACACGAAAATATGTATTGTCTTAAAAGTCTGGCATCAAATTAACATAGATAGGTACTTTGGATGACAAATGACAAGACAAACGGTCTAACAATTAGATTTTCAAAACAGTTGTCTGTCGCATAAATTTGAGAAAAAAGAAAATATTGAAACGTACAGGGTGGGCCAAAAATCACTACCTACCAAAATAAATCCGTAATTTTCTTATCAATAAAATATAATGAACAAATCATGTTTGAACTTGAATTTAATTTAAAATCGATAAAATTAGTTTCTTCTTATATTTTGACGTTTTATTAGAAAAGATAGGATGGGGAGAAACTTTTGGTTCGCCCTGTATTTTGTTCACGTCTCTCTGTCTTGTTTTTAACTCAAGCTCGCGATATTCGTTGTATAGTCGTACGTGGATTTTACATATTTTGAAACAATTTCTAAATTTTAAAGGCATCTTTTCGATCCAGACGAGCCGTGAAATCCATTTCGCGCTTTTTCTACTCTAGCGGAGTCCCTCCCCCCCCCCCCCCCCAACGACGAGAAAAAGGGAGTAATTTCCACTCGAGACGAGTTCCACCCTAACTGCTTGGTTCTTCTCGGTTTAACGAGGCAAGTAGTCCACCCAAACCGCAAAAACCTTCTCCGAACTCTTTACAAAAAACCCTTTGTAACTTTTTTTTTTCCTCCTGCCATTCCGGGACACAAAACCAACTAATGTATGCCGTTGAACCGTTTCGTTCTTTCACGGAAACGTTTTGAAAGCCTCCTCCTCCTTTACATCGCCGGCGTTAAACGACTTGGTTGAGAAAGAACATAGAAAGAAGCCAAGAACGCATCTGTGAGTCGTGTAAACGAGCGATCAAAATTTCTGATTAATCGTCTACGTGAATAAAGTTCTTTTCAAACGAAAAAAAAGAAGGCCTTTGAAAGACATGACAAAAAAAAAAAAAAAATTATGATACATCTATTCAGTTGAGTTATTCATTAATGCCTGTTACGTGGGTTCGTTTCAGAATAAAAAAATTTGTGAATGCTACATTCCCTTTCAAATTGCCTAATTATTCGATCCAGTCATAGAGACAGTAATTCAATAAAAAAAAAGAGAAAAAGAAATTAACTAGAAAATACTATTAAGATCTGATGTGTCGACAAAATATTCTGTCTGCATAAATGTCACATATTTCCTGCAATAAGCAGCCACGCATACTCTTTTTTCCGCTATTGAAACATTTTATTTCGTTAATCATCACGCCGGTGTCGATGAGCGTAGATTATTTTTAACAGTAGCTCGACCCGTAACTGTCGGCCGTTCTTTATACTTTATACTTTCGAAGATCAAGCAACGAGCTTCGAGTTTGCGAACCACTCGACGTCTTTCGTAATCCACGCCCTCCGTGGATCGGAAAGAGGTGTCTCGTTCGACGACACTTTTGCTCGCCCTCGATTAAACTCGAGATTAAACCCACTTAAAGCACAGCCCCGCAGGCGTGCACACCACCGAACCGAACCGAACCGACTATATACGTATATGTCTGCGGAGCGATATTGCATTCACTCGTTAAGCGTCTGCGGTCTATATATAGAATAAAACGCGTCTCATTTTTTTTCTGTTTTTTTTTTTTTTTTTTTTTTTTTTTTTTTTTTTCTACAATCTGATGTCAACGCTTTTTAGGGATTTTTTTCCCCCTATAACCTGGGAAATGGCTGCAATGGATGAAAAGTTCACTGAAGTTCCTTCGATTAAAAACTTTAATGATATTAAAGTACTTTATTACTATTATTGTGATTTATTACTATTATTCATTATTATTATTATGATTTATTGCTATTACATATGTTACTATTATTATTATTATTGTGATTAATTATCATCATCACCATCATCATTATTATTATTATAATACGAAGTGAACGAGCTCAGTAAATCGAAGCAAGTCGAAGAAAGATCGTGGGACGATGTACGAAGCAAGGGTCGTGGACCCGCATTCATTGGCCAGTATGGAATTAAACGAGTACGAGACGGGCAAAAGATCTTGGAGCACGTCGATCAACAATAAGTTCGTCAAGTTAAAGGATGATTACGTCATTCTTACAATTCCTCATAATGGTAACGTGGTATCAATTTCGCGAGCGACGTTCGCAGACGGCAGCTCGATGATTGCCCTTTTATGAGAATTAACCCGACTTTGAACGCTGTGAATTTTTACGTTCTAAGACTACGATTAGCGACTACTTTTTTCAACCTCCTACTCGGTTGTACCACCATTTTTAGGAGACAGTCTGTATATTATGATAGACGATCGTTTCTTCAGAAGCAAGATCAATCAAGAAGGGAAAAAATTTCACAAGTGAAATCACACGTTAGATGGTGTGTAAATTCTCAAACAGGAAGCTATCTAAGAGGAAGAGTCTCTCGCTTATACTCACTTGGTCGCATATGATATCCCATTTTTTCTCGTTGTCGTATTGCTTCAGAAGCTTCGCTTTGTCCGGAGGCAGGTCCATTGAAGCCTGAAACAGAGAAAAAGATCGTGATTTCACTTTAATGCCCGAGACAAACATCGGGAGAGTCGCGTGCTGGCTTTCCATTTCCCCTGTTTCCTTTTTTTCACGCGCGGTATAAAACCAAGCGGCGAACTGTTACGAAAATAATTCGAACATATTAGCGGTGCCCACAATTAATTTTGTTCTTTTGATACTTGGTACAAAATTTTATTTTATCTCAGATTTTATTTTATAATTATTATATGAAATTTTATTTTATTTCAGAGTTTATTTATATATATTATATAATTTAACAACAAGCACACTAAATGTCAATATATCTAATTAGAATATAGGTTATGTTACAATGAGCTAAATTATTAAATCTAGATGGCAATGTTTAGTTGAATTTGTTCAACTAGTATATAGGTTATGTTACAATGAGTTAAATTATTAACTCCAAATGGCAATGTTTATTAAATTTGATGGCAATGTTATGGTTAAATTATTGATAATATATTTAACTGGAATATATAGGTTATGTTACGTTGAGTTAAATTATTAACTTCAGATGGCAATGTTTATTGAATTTGTTCAACTAGTATATAGGTTATGTTACAATGAGTTAAATTATTAACTCCAGATGGCAATGTTTATTGAATTTGTTCAACTAGTATATAGGTTATGTTATAACGAATTAAATTATTAACGATATATTTAACTAGAATATAGGTTATGTTACAATGAGTTAAATTATTAACTCCAGATGGCAATGTTTATTGAATTTGACGGCAATGCTAAATTACTGACAATATATTTAACTAGAATATAGGTTATGTTACAATGGGTAAATTATTAAATCCAGATGGCAATGTTATGCTTAATTTATTAATAATATATTTAACTAGAATATATAGATAATGTTACGTTGAGTTCAGATGGCAATGTTTATTGAATTTGTTCAACTAGTATATAGGTTATGTTATAACGAGTTAAATTATTAACGATATATTTAACTAGAATATAGATTATGTTACAATGAGTTAAATTATTAACTTCAGATGGCAATGTTTACTGAATTTGACGGCAATGTTAAATTATTGATAATATATTTAACTAGAATATAGATTATGTTACGAGTTAAATTATTGTCACTAGATGGCAATGTTTATTAAATTTGAAAAGAACGATATTACTTATTAGGTACTCCTAATAGTTTCGAAGTAATTGTGCTCGAATGATTTCTCCGCCTTTATTGAAAAACGACGATAATGAAAATCGTATGCGCGATATTACTTCATTTGCAACGAACAAGCTGTGCGCGTCTCAATTTATGTTTCATGATCAGGAACTGAGTCATCTTTTAAATTATTAATTAATTATAAAATGGATACCATGCTATACTATACTTTTGAATATTCAACAATGTTAGTTAAAATACGCAATAAACGTTTCGCAGTCAACTTACGTAAGCTACCTTGAAGCTAAGTTTTCAGATAAGAATTTTCTGGTCATTTCTGGCCTGCAATTAGGCATTAAGATATCCGTGGCATACACAATTCCTTTCTGCGTTTCATTTTTCCGAGCGAACTGCGTTTTAGTTCGAACTTGAATATTCTAACAGTAACAAGACTTTATTTTCTTTATTTCTCTTCTTTCTTTTTTTTTTTTTCTTTTGTTCTCACATCTTTGAAGAAACAGAACACAAAACTTACAGCACACGTAACGAGCGTCTGTGTCTCACGATAAATTATCCGCGTAATTCGATCAGATAAATAATTAAGGCCTTTTCTATTGAGAATCATACGCTAATTATTCAAACGCTCGGGGCAGATTTCCCCAAAGTTCCCCTCGTGTTTGAACAGCTCTCGTTAAGGTAATGAAGTCATTAGGAGGAGAAATAAGAAACGAGAGCATCCAGAGGCTGGGGAGTACTTATTGAGTGGCGTTCGCCCCCCCCAAATCCAAAATACGGAACGATCCATCAACGATTTATTACCGCGTTCCATCGCGAAATATTTTCAAGCAACAGCATCGCTTATCACAATGTTTAAGTTAACCTTTAAACGCTCGTGCATGCGTTGCAACTTGCTGAAAGTAAAATTTATCGACATGCGACGAAAAAAAAGTGGTCGACCATGACTCACTTGCGATAGCATGAAATTTGCTAACTAAAGTGAGGAAAAAAAAAACACAAGTATGGAAAATTGTTAAAAAGAACGAATACTGTCTATGACTTTAAACTTTAAGGAGTTTCTTGTTAACTGTTAATGTAAATGTAACGAGTAGGTGTTCTAATATCATTATTTTCTACTAATATCTAGCAAATTTGTCATCTATCACGTAAAAAACATCTTACAAAAGCTTACAGAAGCTTGAAACGGGTCAACAAAACAAGTTTGGTATCAGTTTCGATATTCGATGTCTCGAATATTAATGAGAGTCGCCGTGCACGCGGATGAAAAAGAATCGCCAAGTAAACGAGCAAAGTGATACGTATGTAACGTGGACAGTGGTCGGTGGCTAGTCGACGAGCATAGTCGACGAATAATTATCAAAGAGCGGATGCGGAAGCCACGAGTGCATGACATCACTACTCGCGATACACGTATGGTGCTTCTGCCGAACGTTAAATCGAGCGATAGCCCCGTTTATGTCTGTACGTGTACCGTTCCACGCTACAAATTGCACGGACACTGACCAAACAAGTTACACGGACGGAGTGCAATTCTTCGTAACTAAACTGGGCAAAACACACACACACGCACGCACACCGAAAAAAAAAAAAAAAGAAAAAAAGATTCATCAACGCGTAGGTAGGGAAATAACGTAGCCGCAGATCCTGAATAATAATCTCTTTTTACACGGTGCTTTGCTCCTCGGAGAAAGCAAACGCACGTTCCCCTTCGGTAAGCAGAGTGAGCTACAATTTCCAACCGGCACGATTTCCAAGGGGTTTCCATGAAAATCATTTTGCAACGCGCGTTCCGTTCGAAACGAAACGAAACGAAACGAAACGAGGAAACGCTGTAATTTCTCGCGGCCGAGGCTACAGCGATATTTGCACAGTTACGCTTGTTAATCATTTGGAGCAACTACGGCTCGACTCTGTTTTCTCAGAGTTCTGTTCAATTTGTAAATAAACAAAAAAATCCTCTGATCGAACGTATTGTAATATTTAAAAAAAAATCATGAAAATGAGTATATTTGTACGTTCAAACTACGTGTATATCGATTTTTACTAAATATATTACAGTGTAAAAATTTAATTGCATAGATAATTCGTACGCGTACGTGTATGTATCTAATCGTTAACAGAAACTTTAATACTTATGTGTTTATATAAATCATTAAATTTTATGATCATTTCATCGTTAATAGAAAATATAGTATTATATAACATATGTTAGATATTAAGTTAAAAGGGGAAAAAAATCATACGGATATGGATGATAATAATAACGCACGAGTACATTATTTTAGGAACATCTTACATGTAATATACTTTAAAAAGGAAAATATTGTATACCGTACATATCTTATTTTATATATAATATATAAATAATTTAAAAAATATAAATATAAAAATATATAATATATAGTATATATGTATATAATATATAATATATATAAATATAAAAATATATTATATATAGTATATAATATGTGTATAATATATAATATATATAAATATAAAAATATATTATATATTAAATATAAATATACACATTATTACAACAGTACAATATAATATACATATATAATATATATAAATATAAAAATATATTATATATTAAATATATAAATATATACATTATTACAACAGTACAATATATATATATATTAGCAGTACAATATAATATACATATATAATATATAATATAATATACATATATAATATAATAATATATATATATTATATTACATTATTATTAAGTATATATACATCATATATATTATATTTATATATATATTATATTACATTATTATTAAGTATATATATATTATATTACATTATTATCATATATACAATATACATGATTGAAATATTTGGATGTGTAAATAAACGAATATATTTAAAAGATATGATATATATATATAACTGAACAGTATAAATCTATAAACAAATCATAAAATTATATTCTATTTCTTTTCAGACATCGCAAGAAACTTTGCAGGTACAAACTACGTAATGGCGAAAGGAGTTAATATCAGAAGCTCCCTTCCACTTTCAAGTCAAGTCGAAAGCTCTTAATACTCGATGCCCTCACTGCCCACCCCTTTCCAATCCCCCCTTCCCTTCTCCCCCCTCGTTTTCATCAAAGTGCACTTTAAGAAGCAAACAGGCAACTTAACCAAGAAAACGATGGAAAACGATCAATAATCCGATGTGACACGTCAAAAAGAAGTCTGTGTCTCCGTTTAGAAATAATCAATACACCATCTACCACCCTCGAGGCCACGCTCAGCTTTGACCACCGTTCTCATACGCGTGTAATTCGACGAGGAGGACGTCTTACATATATAAAATACAGACGTTTTCTGAAGGATCGTTGAAGGACTATGTTGTATTACTTCATCACGTGTGCAATAAGGCGGACCCCTAGCTGAATAAACAGGAGAATCCCTGGATTATGTTTGTCTCAGACAAGCTTTGTCATTTGTTACTCGGCCTCGTAAAGAAAACTAGAGACCGACTCGGCTCGAAAGCATCTGTTTCGTCGCGGTTCAATGCGTGGCCGCGGTCAGCTAGAAGCTAATAGGATCCTTTGCCGATATACCGATTGAAACGCGAAGATTCTAAACGGTTGAACGGTTTTACCATCTCGCCAATTCTCGTTCGACAAACGAGAAGTCGAGGCGAACTTTAATTGGCGAACGAGTGAATCAGTGCTCGTTAAAGTTTTGACTCCCTTGTCAATCGTAAGGCATATTCGCTCTTGTTCTCGATCGTATTTCGGCGGGCTTATTATCTGTCGGGCACGAACGCAACGAACTTGAATTTTCGTTTAATAAAAACCAGACGG